CAATATACTTTCCTACTACGCAGTACTTTTTAGTAAAATTTTGTAATGAATACTAAAAATATATAGCTCTGGAAATTCACAGCAAGAAATTTTTTGTATTCTCTTTGGTTCGCCTGTTCGTATTTACCTTTGTAAGTTTTGAAAAAACCTAAGATTAAATCTTTGCGAAACATCCAAAAACCAACATACTTTCGTAAAAATTTCGAGCTTTATTAATATTCTTTAGTTTTTAGCCCATTCAATTTTAGTATAATAAAGTTCAAGTTTAAAGTAGCTGGGACTTACCGTTGAACTTGGCATTTTTTTTGTCGACGATGTCAGCCATTTTCTTCCATACGAAGTGTGTCCGACGATTTTTTTATATGGAGAAAACTAGCAACACCTTCATCAGAGAAATCTTAAAAAACTTAGTTATATTAAAATTTAATGGGCTAAAAAACCGCACGCTCAAAATAAATCTAGGAAATCGAATTAAAAAGCTCGAAATTTTTACGAAAGTGTGTTGGTTTTTTTTAATGTTGCACAAAGTTTGAACCTTTAATTTGTACAGCTTTTCTTAAAATATAAACCGTATTTTTACAAAAAATAATTAAAATTGAATACTATTAAGATAAATGGTCAAATCTTGTCGTAAAGTTTTGATAAGCACTTGAAATGCTATTAAACTGTCAAATTTTAGTACTGAATCCAAAGGAAAATGTCTCTTTTATCCATTAATAATAACTTAAATATGCTTTTTGTTAAGATGTATACCTGAAAATGTGTGCATACATATTTGCGTTAAATGCAGTACATGTGCACGTGGAATCAATTTGTAAAAGTGTAAACTACGTAAACGTATGTACATAAACAATAAAACTTTCTCATGAATACCATAAATTCATTGGTCTTGAAGGGAATGTACTAAGAAAATATATGAGCGAATTAAAAAGTGTATACAATTTATAGCCGAAAAGTACATTTTTTGTATAGATTTCGTACTGAAGGAACAATTTAATTTCCCCAACACTGATACAGAATGTAAACAAACACAGGGTTGCAAGGAAAAAAAGTTGAACGAGCTCAAAGTTGGCTGGCGACCAACTTTGTTGAAAGCGATTAGTTGAAAGGCCGTTCGGACGAGGCGATTTTTGCTTTCAACTAAAAGTTGCCTGAAAAATCGCTGCGTGCGAAAGCCCTATAACAAAGTTCGCGGAGAGTAAAATTTTTGACCATTATGAGGTAGGAATGTTCGATATCGTATCGATTTTTCTGAATATCGATATTTCATCGCACGATAATCGATTTTTTGAATCGATATTCCAAGGTCGATATATCGAAGACGTCGATACTTTACCCGCAATATCGATATTTAAGTTGAAATTCATTTTTCATCTACAAAGAAGTGTATGGAAATATACTAAAGTAGGTTAAATCAACAGCTTGTGTGATTTATTTAGCTCTTCAGGGCCGGTTACTCAATGTCTGGTTAACACTAATCTCCGGTAAAACATCGTTATCGACGTTACCGACTCCATGTTATATGCATGGAGCCGAACACGTCGATAATGATGTTTAAACGGTGATTAGTGTTAACCAGACATT